AGAAAGTCGTACTTTTTCTCTTAAATCTTTTCAGAGGCGAATTGTTTTTGTTCCCGTGGTCAAGACAAAGACAATAAAATATTCTTGTAAGTAGAATGTAGGGATTTTTGCTCTGTTTTATTTAAGGGGGTAGGGATTGTTGTTATTTTACTTTCAGGGGATTTTTTGCATTCGAGATAACATTAAAAAAGCACATAAATGTGTCCTTATGCTCTGCTCTGGATGTTTAATACATATCAGACTTGATGATTCAGCTCACTAATAGGATTAAAATTAAATCTGTGTCCAGGTGTCAATTTTCAGTGCCCAAATAAATTATAAAAGGAAACACACAGCCAAATATTTCTACTAAATTTAACAATTTTTTATTGAATAGCTACATTTTTTCAATCATCGTTTTCAAGATTGATGAGGATACCAATAAAATGAAGACACAGTCTACCTTCGAGAAGCTTACAGTGCAGCATGAGCATGTGAGGTATAGACCTCACAAAAGCCACTTTACCATAAATATATGCATAAGAAATAACATGGGAGAAATGTAAAGTGTCAAAATGATTCTACCGGGGTCTTTCTCCACATCTGCAAGGGTCCAAGGAATTTGGAAAAAGGCTGCATGTAAATGAATAAACTAGACATGAAATATAAATTTGGAAGACATGGGACAAAGCCAGAGGAAGCTTCACTCTAGTGGAGAGCTCCCAGAATCTCTGGCCCAGGGCTTTTTATTCACACATTTTGCCCTTTAGTAAAGCAGATATACATATCAAAGGTCAGGTTGGGGAACTTGCCTTAGGCTTTTCCAGCAGCAGGTAATAACATGCAGATTTTTAGCCCTGCTGAAAGAGTCCATTCAACCTTTTGAGGACTTCTCGCATTTATTATGACCCTCTGGACTTAATTTCCAGCATGATTCAGACAGAAAAAGAAATAAAACTTGAAGATTTCTATGTGAGTGCTTTTGTTCAATATACAATTTAGTAATTTATGATGAAACCTATAATTTGTCAAAGAAATAAGAATTCTGAAGGCCATTCTTAATATATAAAGATGTTGCTTGGAGATTGAGATTCTCAGAGCAGGGGAATGATTGGGTGAACTTAATAGTTAATATCACCAAGGAAGGTAAAGGTGTGCTGCCTCCAAAATTCCTTACAATTATGAGCTGTGATTCTTTCTCCAAATTCCAACATGGCTTCTATTTCCTTATTGATTGGTACTAAATATAATATAGTAGCCACATAAAAAATCTCTAATATTTGAACACTGCCAGTCCATTTGGCCAGTGGTCTGGCAGTGAATGGCATCTGAAATTAGAAAAACAAAATTCTGGTTCTTTGACTCACTAATACTATGACCTTGAGAAATTCATTAAATTATAACCCCATGAGCCTCCACTTCTTCATAAACAAAGCAAAAGTGAGTGATATCGACTTGCTACCTATTGCCTTTAGAGAGACAGTGTCACGCGAAAGCCCTCTGTGAACTGTAAAGCTCTACCCAAATGGTAATTCAGGCCATCACAGAAAGAAGGCCTACAATCACTCAGTTGCACGTGTGTGGCGAGAAAAAGAAAAGAGGTTCCCTCACACAGCCGTCCTACACTGTAAGCTAAAGTAAGGAGACAGGAAGAAGGAGAGGCAGAAGGTAATACTATGAAATGATATGAAAGCAGCCCACAGTCAGTTTTTCAGATGGCTACAAAATGCCCAAGCAACATAATGTGCTTTGCTTGTATCACTGGTTTCATGAATGCCTGCTGGCTGAATGATGAATACATAAACGGGTAAAGTATTGAATGTAGGAACAAATCAAAGTATAGCCAAGTGATATTCTTGAAAAACACAGCAGGAAGAGTCAAGTTTTACAGAAGAGTGTAAGAAAAAAATTTTTTTGAAAGATGAAACCATGTGGCTAACAGTAAGGGCTCCACTCACTCAGGTTGTAACAGAGAAATATGCAAATGTTCTTGTAAGTAGGCCACAAGAGTCCTTATGTTCCACATCAATTTAGTAGTAATCAGAAATACTGAAATACTCTTAAATTACCTTAAAACATAGAAGAACTGAACAGAAGAGTGTATGCATCTGAAAAGCTGTAAAAATGATCCTATATAAAAATGAAATATTTTGAAGGTCACAACTACCTTGAAGCTTACTGGGTTTACTCTGAATTATATGTAATATCAGAAAAAGTTCTATTACACCATAGAAAGCAAACAGCAGATCTTACTTGTAACCTTATCAATGCTTTATGAACGTGCTAAAATGTGTTCAAGTCAAAAGGATTATATTATCTCCCATATTGGTGTAAGTAATTACTCCCCCCACCAAAAAACAAAACCATATAAAGGCATAACAGAAGACAGACAGATGGATGAACAATGAGTCTGGGAAATCACAAAATACAATAATTTTCACAGGAAGTAGAATGACACATTTCAGATATCCTAATTTAAAATAAGATTTCAATAACTCTGACTCCAAAAATTACCTTTATAATTATGTAATTCTCAGCAAAGTAATTATTGCTTTGATACCAATTTCCTCAAATGAATAATTCTTATTTTTATACAATTAAGCAGCTATAGCAAAGAACCTGACTCCGTGGAACATGCCCAGTGAATGTTAACAGTTTTCATCTTCCTTCTAACCTGTCCTCAGCTTAAAGAAAAAATACCACTTACAAAATTCTTAAACAGTCACCTCCAATGCAATGAGAACATATAAATCTGTGCATGTCCTAGGAGTTAAAGGTTCACAGTTCAACTACTATGACCTTAAAGTGAATAAGGTTAAAGGTAGTCCAAAGTACTGGCTACTTGAAGGGAAACAGCAGGATCTGAAGAGACACATTACTTTATAAGTAAAATCATTTGTATTTGCAATCTTTAAATAAGGACCACAAAAGAAAAAGCGTTCTAATGGTGAGGGTTTCTATTTAGTACCAATTGGGAATGGAGAAAGTTGGACACATTTTTAAAATTTATTATTTAAAAAAGTAAATCCTCATTTGGGCTAATGGTCAAGACCAGGTAAACAGATAAAGTCCCTGAGGGATTGCTGTTTGTGCAAGGCATACACATCTTTCTTTACCAAAATAAGTGCTTGGTTTGAGAAAATATACTCATCATATTGGTTATGCTCACGATGATAGGCTAAAGAAATAGTCACATGATTCATAAAACATAAGTATTGTTTTGAGTGTGACCATTAACACTATTAATCACTATCATCATAATCACTAGTTACTGAGTGACTACTAAGTTTAATCCTCACATAGTCTTATGAATTCAGTAGCCTCCTTTTTTAATTCAAAGAAATAATGATTTTAGAACACAGTGACCTCAGGAAAGGTCTTACCAAAGGCTTCCACTCACAGTGCAATAAGCAAAGAGAAGGCCAGCTGGACTCAGTGTCTAGGCCATGTCCATCCTCAGGAGGCGTGAATAACACAGTTTCCTAAACACAGCTTACATTAGGTCCTGCCAACTAAAATTTAACTGTACCACTGTAGGGTACTGGGGAATAATTGTAAAAGCCAACCTTGTGAGTAGTTAGAATATTAGATGTGGCAGACGAAGACTTTTGAGTTAGTGGCTCAGAGTATTAATTTTCATATTTGAACATCTATTATAGCTATTGAAGAAATTAAGCCTTTGCTTTTGAAACTCTCTTTAACATTTCTCTTCTTGATGGGTTTTTCATCTAACTGACTTATATCCCTTTAATTATCCAAAAATGTTTCTGAATGGCACCATTTGCCCATAACAATGGAAATAATTGGTCACAAATGAATCTAGGGTCATGAATCTTAATGGCAAAATGAAAAGTTACCCGGGATTTCCACATTTGATATTTCTACTCTCACTGAATGCTCAGAGGCTACACTAATAAATCAATTTCGGGGCCATAGCTACAGGGGAGATTGTTTTAGACAATGCAAAGGCAGTTGTTGGAATTGTACAAACAATGCATCCCTCTCCCTGAAAAACTACCTGACCTCAAATGTCTTAATATGTCCACAGGTAAAGCAGACACTATTAGCTTGGTGGCAAAGTCTGCTCCCCACATGATTAGGCACTTGCCTCTCTTATTCATTATATTTCATCAGGTTTTAGAATAGCTCTAGTCTATTCAGAGGAAAATTGAGTAACAAGCTGCACAGTTTAGAAATATGAATAAAATTTAGTATTTCAGAAGCTCAAATCTTGTAACTTTGGACTTTCTTAGAAATACAAATTTTCCCCAAATTTTACTTTGTAAAGGGTTAATTAAAACATGAGATTGTCTGGGCTTAAAATTTTTTTTACCAACCTTAAAATCAATATCATTTAGACTTCTGATGCCAAAAATCTGTTTGACAGAGCAGGTTTTACTATACTGACATTTTAACAGTAGCCAAAGTCCTGTTCCCACTGAATTCTGTCTTGGCAACACCAATAATTTGCTAAAAGCCTAAACTCCTCCTGGCTTAGAGTTTCTACCTCATGAATTTTCTGCAGAAACTATGCAACCGAGAAGTTGAATTAAGTTCCCAAGGTATTTATTCTTATCATAGAAACCAAGATTTCTGTAAAATGATAATGACTTAAAAGAAAAAGAGTGACTGATTTATTCATTTTACCTTAGGTTTGACTTTGATACAATACAGTATAATAACACATAAATATCTCACTAAAAGAAAAAAAATCTTACATTCTCACATTACCTCAAGATTACATGCAAACAATCACTGATAAAGTAAATTTAAAAATCTGGTTCCAAACTATAAATAGCAACATTTTCTAATCTTATCATCCTTTGAATCAGGATATTTCCAGAAATACAGAAAAACTTACAAACATGTTTATTTAGATGGCATGGCAGACATCTTTTTCAGGGTTTGAAGGCCTCAAATCATTACTGACACAATTTTACATAAAGCTTAATATTTTGCTTGAGTGAGCTTTCCGATAATTTTTAAATCCAACTGCATAGAAAACACTTAACTCAACTTACCCTGCTGTTGGGTGTTAAAGAATTGGAAAGATTGTTCCAGCCAAGTCAATTCACTTAATTTTTCAAGTAGGTCTGGTTACTATTGTCTTTTTAAAAATGCAAGGATTCCACCTAATGAGAAAAGAACAACAAACAATAGTGTTTAAATCAGGGCAGCATTACATGACCTACACATTAATAACACAGAAATCAAACCAAGATAATTGCTGTAGCTTCTCTTAAGTTACCATGCTACTTAAAGCTATAAAACAACAAAATCATCTGCCAACTAAATTAAATTTTCCAGGTTGGGATATAAAATGAATGCTCAACCATAGAGAAAACAATAAGATAGCACCACAGAGTGTGAGAGCAGAAGAGTTTATTTTCAGGACTGATTGGCACACGGAAATGATGACTATATACTGTCAGTTAGGATATGTAAAATTAGAAAGATGCAGCTGACTGCTTTGGAATTAGACTCATTGAATCTTATTAATTTGCTAATGTAATGAAAACGTGTAGGTTGCAGTTGTTTAAGGTATATAAACCAATACTCAGATAATTTGGAGAGAACTCACTAACATGAATTTCCAAATCATTCTTAAAATGTTACACCTTGTCTATCACAGAGTTTATTAAAGATCCATAAACAGCTTATTTGTGGTTTATAAATAATATCGGTTAATTCTATTCGTTTTACTAGTAAGTACACCTTTTTTCAGAAGCCCAAATATTAAATTATCATCTCAGCTTCATAAGAAAGTCGGGGAGAAAGCAAGCTGTAGTTCAACTGGTGAGAGCCTAAAATAAATGGGATGCTGGAGGGTTGACCAGAAGATTGAAATAGAAACCTGGACAGCTTCCAGCTTCTCCTGAATCAGGTTTCCCCAGGGCAGACTTAGTATGTTTTAAAGTCCGAGGACATCAAATACAACTATATTATAGTGAAAGTTCAAAAACCTACTCCAATGCCATAAATACATGATTATTTTACTATACAATTTGGAATTAGCCATATATTGTCACTCCCCAAATCCCTCTACACATGCTAGAAAAATTGACAGTTATCTCATTTTAAAAAAAGTTAAAATAGATTTCCTATCTACTACTGGAAGGTACATGCTGGGGGAAAAAATACAAAACAAAAATGTTCCTGACAATGAAGACAAATAGCAATAATTATACATACAAAGCCCAAATGCAGAGTACTCACAGGAACTAGTTTTCCACTGCCTAGGCAATCTATGTCTGGACTTCTGTCTTATTGCTATTTAAGAAGTAGTTAACTAATAAACTCATTTGGATATGGTCTAAAAAAATGTATTTATTCCAGAGATAAATTGTCTTAATTATTATTCTAGGATTCTTGCCATAAATATAATATGACAAGACAAATGTCAAATGACTTGGTTATTTTAAACTACACTGTCTCAACAGATGTAGGCACCTAAACAATGAGTTGCAATATAAAACAAAACGATACACTCCTTTTTCACATTTGAACATCTAGAGCTGTGAAAGTAATTTCTTTTTCCAGCCATGTCATGAAAGAATTAGCAAGCCTCCTTCAAATAATAATTGGCATTTATTTTCATAATATCATTGCTGGATTCTTGCCATGATAGTTTTGTGTTAGTACATCTGTTTAACAACTTATCTTGGTCAAAGTCTCTTTACAAGAAAAAGTAATGGTGCTTCCTCTCATGGTATGGAATGAACTTGAAGATTCTTAAGAATCCTTTCTCACTAAAGTAAATACTTGTGCATTGTTGGGAGATATAAATTGGTGTAGCCACTATGGAAAAAAATATGGAGATTCTTCAAAAATTAAAGAGAAAACTACCATATGACCCTGAAATTCCACTTCTGTGTATTTATCTGAAGAAACCTAAAACTTTAATTTGAAAAGGTATATGTATCCCAATGTGCACTACAGTGTAATTTAAAATAGCCAAGACATGAAAGCAAACTAGGTGTCCATTGATAGATAAATGGACAAAGAAGATAAGCTATACACATAATGGAATATCACTCAGCCATAAAGAAGAATGAAATCTTGCCATTTGCAAATGGATAAAACTTGGGGATACTATGCTAAGTGAAATAAGTCAGACAAAAAAAGGCAAATATTGCATAATTTCACTTTTATGTGGAATCTAAAAAGCAAAATAAATGAGCAAACAAAACAGAAATAAATTCATAGATAAAGAGAATGAACTGATGGCTGCCAGATGGGAGGGTAGATAGGAGGATGGGCAAAAAAGGTGAAAGGGATTAAGAAGTACAAACTTCCAGTTATAAAAGTAGTCATAGGATTATCAAGTATAGTACAAGGAACATACTTAATAATCCTATATAATAAAAGGCTAATATGCAAATTGACCCAATGGCGGAACAACTGGTCACTATGACATGCACTGACCACCAGAGGGCAGATGCTCAATGCACGAACTGCCCCCTGGTGGTCAGTGCTCTCCCACAGGGGGAGCGCCACTCAGCTAGAAGTCAGGTTCATAGCTGGTGAGCCTCTCCCGCTTCCAAGTTAGTGCTAAGGATGTCCGATTACTGGCTTAGGCCCGCTCCCCATGGTTTAAGCCAAAAGTTGGACATCCCCAGAGGGCTCCCAGAATGCAAGAGGGCACAGGCTGGGCTGAGAGACACTACCCCCCACCTCCCGCCCAGTGCACAAACTTTAGCATTGTAATAACTATGTACAGTGCCAGATGAGTACTAGACTCTGTAAGGTATACAAATGTATAATCACCATGTTGTACACTTGAAACTAATATAATGCATGACAACTATAATGAAAATAAAGAAATTAAAATAAAATAAAAAGATTCCTTTCTCACTAATTTTTCAATGTATAATATGAAATTGACTTGTACAAGTCTAGATCTACCATTCTGTCCTTTTTAATTTCTTATGTTAAGTACTATTTTCTTAAACAATATAGTTCTTGCCTCAAATGAAGATGCAAGTTACTTGAGCATGGCCAGTCATTAAGCCAGTATTTTAAAAGGCTGTTCACCAATAATACAACAAATATGCTCATTTCAATCTAATTATAGTTATCTGAGTGGTCAGCGATTTCAAATTACCTAGGAATCTGTCAGTGTTGATGTGGCGTCTCATATCCCACTTCAAAAGCAGTAAATACAAATTATATTAGTCACCTGTTCGGAGGATTCCGTTACATGACTGCCTCTAATGAGCACGGAAGATACATATCTGTGGCCTGTTGAACAGGTAAGCCTCATGTGTGCAAACCACAATGCTACATTATTCAGAAATGCCTCTTTCTTCAGGAGCGAACAGGACACCTGAGATATGGTCATGGGTTCTCTTCAATTTCTACACAACACTGCAGTGCAGCATGTAAGATAATTTTATAGCCTGATGAAAGCAGCTGAGACTAAACCTCCTTATCTCTGATTTATTTTTATTGCCTGTCTCACCACACTATGAAAACAAAACAAAACAAGCTCCACCTCAGTCAATGGTATCTGAGTTCCATCAGAAAATCTAAACACGCCGAAGCCGGTTTGGCTCGGGGGTAGAGCGTCGGTCTGCGGACTGAAAGGTCCCAGGTTTGATTCCGGTCAAGGGCATGTACATTGGTTGCCGGCACATCCCCAGTTGGGGGGTGTGCAAGAGGCAGCTGGTCGATGTTTCTCTCTCATCGACGTTTCTAGCTTTCTAGCTCTCTCCCTTCCTCTCTGTAAAATATCAATAAAATACACTAAAAGAAAAAAAAAAAAAAGAAAGAAAATCTAAACACATGTGAACTTTGTATTTCAGTCAGTTACATGGTGTCAACAATGGAGTACTTTATCATTAGGTGATATTTGATTGTGTGGTCACCAATCAATTTATTTCAGTTATTTGTGTATAATAAATTAGGAGTACCTACAGTGAGTGGAGTAACTTTCTCTAGCTGAGCGGGGCCCCCCTCCCCATGCAGTATACAGGGGCCATGCTTCCTGAGTTGACCAGGATGCTCTGGGAGCTCCTCAGCCGTGGGTGATATTGTAAAGTGTGGGGGAATACCCATGAACCCGGAGACAAGTCCTATCTACACTAATAAAAGAGTAAGATACAAATTAACTCTACCTCCACCGTGCCCACCAGCCAATCAGGAGTAAGTATGCAAATTAACCCAATAAAGATGGTGGGTTAATTTGCATACACAGGTGCCAAGCTGCTGGGATGCTTGTATCTTCATGGCAACAACACAGGCGTTCCACACCTCCCCAGCCACTCCAGGCCTCTGGGCAGAGTGGGAAAGCGGAATGGTGGCTCTGGGCCAGAGTGAAAAGGTGGCTCCAACAGGAGCAAAGGCAGCCAAGGGAAGGAAGGCCCATTCTTGCACGAATCTTTGTGTATTGGGCTTCTGGTCTAAAACAAAACATTTTAATTGCCTCAACAAATGTAAGATGAAACTGCATGTAAATGACACAGCCACAAAATAATATTCCATGTAACTGATGTATTTTCTTAGTATTTTTACATGACAAAGCCCTGAGTTCATTTAAAACATAGCTAAATGGCTGACGTTACCTAATATCCTTCCCCTGTCCTTCCATCCCAACCAGTGTCTCTTATTTCTGTTACCTGCGAAATAGGTTTGGATTCAAAGAAACAGAAATACTAACAGAGAAATGTAAATGACTTAAAAAAATGTAAGATAAAATTTGACTGAGAATAGTCTACATATTGTTGCACATACTAATCGCATCCATCACCTCCCTTGATTTAACAAACCTAAATACTCTCAAGGAGTCTTATATTTTACAAAACCTATGCTGACCTGAAGAATTCCAGACACTCGGATGAAAGGGAAGGAAAGGACAAATGGAAGAAATGGTGGGGGGAAAAGCAGGAATATCTGTGTGAAGTTGGGCAAATAAGGACAGGAGCTGTTTTCCACCCACACTTTGAAAGTCACACTGTGTGCCAAGCACAGTGAAAGCATGAGTGATGTGCTTCTCCACCTTCCCGAGGAAAGAAACACAGAGAAAATGTGGCGAGTACTGAATCTAAGCCTCGTTTCCTGAAAAACTGCAAGATGCCCACAAATTTTCTTTCCCAGAGTTCAAAATAGCAAGTTGAGTGGGTGTAAACATTTC